TAATGCAAGATTTTCATTTTGGTTAAAAAATACAAGTGGTCCTCCTTGGTGGCGCAGCGGGTTAAAGCACAGCACAAAGCAGCTTATGCCACTTCCACATGAGTTCGAACCCTGCCTGCCCTGGAGGAGATCCACATGGCATGGCAGACCTCTCCTGACCCACCCACTGCTCCCCTCAGCAGTGTGCATCGTGATCTGCCTGTTCTGCTCCCCACTCTGTCTCTGGTGAATTCTCTCACCCTCTGCATCTCTGGCCTGTACCCCATCTCTGGTTCTGTACGAATAAGTAAATAAATCTTTCAAAAAAAAACACAAGTGCCCCAACAGCACAGTTCAAACTTCAATTACTATAGTATATTAACTATGAGTAACTGCAGAAAGTACAAACTTTCCCTAAGTCCTCAAATTACTATATAAATAACTGTATATGAAGCTGAGCGTCCTGTGAAGTGGCAAATTATATACATTCTTTCAAGTTTCACAGTCACAGTTCACTACACATCTTAAGTTCACATACTGAGAGCAAAGTACGGAATTTTATTGACATCATGTCTCCAGTATAAACCCAAGACATACTATTTAAAAAAAAAAAAGCAAATTAAATTAGCAAACAAAGATGGAAGTGCAGGGGGGTGGGGTAGAAACTGGTAACACTGGAATGAAATTTTAATTAAATACAAGAGTTACGGAAAAATACTCAATTAAGGGAATACAGGAGACCCAAAATAAGCAGAGGACTCGATGAAGGTGAGCATATTGATGTAAAAGAGGAAAGTGGTTGTGAGAAAAGGATGACAATGTCCTAGAGGACCTGAAAACCTCACAATGAAGAAACTCTCAAAGACATTTCTTAACACTGAAAGCACAAAAGCAAGTTGATTCAAACTTAGAAGTATGACAATTCATCAAGCACAGAAATGATGCCTGCTCCATATAAGAAAAAGGCATTATTCAAAGTACTCTTGAGAAAATTTTATAAACAATTCTTAATGTCTAATGAACAATATACTAAAGTTTTACAGGTTTTTTATTTTTTTTCATTTTACTATATACTTGTAGAGAATTTTTAATGTTTTAAAATTTCCAAAGGTCACAGAATGACTTTTCTCCCTTAGTTGCTTTACCTAGTTTCAGTTTGAATTGCCATTTTTATAGGCCCTTAATACTGCCTGTATGTGAATGACATTATTTAATCATCTTATCAAATGCAAAGCAAACATTTAAGAGTATGTAGGTTCCTACGTGACCAAGAAAAAAACTAGTGGGCTAGTTACTAAATTCTCAAGAGGGAAATACAGCTCTACTGTTTAGTTCCCAAGTTATATATCTAGATTTATACAGACAATTCTCTTCTATTACTACTCCTAAGTTCTGCCCATATCTAAGTATCATTGTTAGAAAATAGGGGAAAAAGCAAAATCATACTGCCCAACCTTTTCACAAAGTTGGGAGAGCAAGCTTAAGAGATTGAGTGGCATGCCTTGGCACAGTAATCAGGTGGAACAGGGAAACTAAAACACTACAAATCTAATTCTAATTCCAATAAACACAAGGCTGATTATTTCTGAAGTTATTAGCAGATACTTGGTCTTATTTTCTGCCCCAATGATTTACATAAACCTACTATAGAAGAAAAAATTTCAATGTTTTTCTGAATCGCTTTAAGACATTTTACAAGCATTTTACTCTACCTTCAGAGCATACCTTCATAACATAACTTAAATGACAAGAAATTTTTAAGTTTCAAGATTACAGTGTACCCTTGCTGGAGAGGATGGAATCCTGACCAAAAAAAAAAAAAAGATAAAGATATAGGTAAAAAATAAGGGCAATCTGTACACTATGCTTTTTTGTTGATAATGTGTCTAAACTGGTGCATTAATTATGACAAACGTACCACATACTAACATAAGACATTAATAACAGAGAACTGTTTGGGAGGTATAATTAAACTACTATCTTTACAACTTTCCTCAAATCTACAACTATTCTAAAACACAGTTTGTTTTGTTTATAAAATATTGCACATACTTTAATACTTCAGTGCTGTGATCTAATGAAATTTTTTAATCACAGATACTAAATACATTAATAACTGCTATTCTGTTTTTCAAACTATGCTCTGTGAAATTTTTCTAACTCCTAGTGGAGACTCCAACTCTTAGAAAAAGGGAACTTAGCCAGGCATCTCTACCATACTATCTCTATGACAAGTGTCTAAGGAACAAGATTCTGTTAAGAAGGGAATTCAGAAAGTCACCCCCTGCCTAAAAAGTCAGTAACACTCAAGATTTGAGGAATATTTCAAATTCATTGTCCCTCATCATGTAAAGAATGCTAGACTGAATACCTTAAAAACCTGGAATTTTGAGTCTATTATTAACCAATTATATAAAATCTATTTCTGTAGGCCTATTTTCTCATGTACAAAGTAAGACTAAATGGTATACAGCAAAGTATATTACGACTTAAAAGGTTTCAGTCTAATCAGAATGTTTCCCCAAAATTTCCCTTTTAGTAAGAGAATAAGTAAAACATATTATTTAGACAATTCATGTTAAAAAATGATGACTTAATAAATATCAAAAAATATTTGTCAGGTGTTTTCCTTCTTGGTGTGTTAAACAACTGTTTTTAATCAAGATTATTTTGGTTTAAATAAACAAGTATGCTACATCCATCCACTTCATCTAATTTTAAATTCCAATTTAAATATACCTCATTTATTTCACAAATATATTGCTACTATTTACCTCCCATGCTACCATAAACCAAAACAATATAACCAATAGAAAGTATAATAAAGCATTTCAAAACACAGTCCAAAGCTTCTGCAACTCATTTCTTCCCCAATTAATGTCAATATTTGTCAATGAAGTAAAGCAAAAATTATGGATACAAGTACTACAAAACTGACCAGGGCAAAGTTTTAGCAATAGTTTCAAAATATATTTCAGTAGTTTAAAAACACTTAGTAAAGTGGCTAAATTATTTTTTAATTAAGCTAAGGTATCAAATTTCATATGTCTAAAACAGTAAAAATATAACAATCAGAATGTTCAAATGCAACTAGAAAATACAGGCTTCCAATGTACAATAAATATGCTAACAATCTATCCGCAACTTCGTAATTTTGTCTTCCAAAATTTACTAACTGTAGTTAACAAAAAAGTATTTGCCATTAATATCACATAATCTTTGATTTTTTTAAATATTTTCACACCCACATTTGTATGTCAGGGAAAACAATGTTTAAATAAATGTAATCCACAAGATAACTATCAATCAAATTAAAATGCATCATTTTATTACTGAAAGTTCAAGAATCTATAGTTACTAAGTATAACTCTTAAAAAATATATAGTCTCATTCACAAGCACATCCATTTCAAACTGAAAGTACCGTTATTAAAGTTTTAACACTAAAATGTCACTTTACAAATAACCTTTGCTTTACTAAGCTCCAACCCCAAGTATACTGAATTATTTCCCCAATGCTAAAAATCTCTCAAGATCTTATCTATGACAACTGTAAATAAAAAACTTATGGCATAATGTTTCATTAAAATGTATGTAGAGTATACCTTAAAAGTACCAATCACAACATAAACTGACGCCTTCCATTTAGCACACTATAGATTTGAAAATTTGTTTTATTATGTCATGGAATATTAAATCACACTCTATATAATCAGGTTTCAATAACGATTTTTAAAATGAAAGATCATGCGTTTGAACATGTTAAAGTAATAAGACAACATTTTTAATTAACATTTTTAAATGATCAAATTCTAAAACCCCAGAGTTAATAATTTCAAAGTTTGTGCTCATAGGAAACAAAACATCGTATTCAGTACCAGAAGTAGCTTATCTACAAAACCACTTTTTCTTCAATTAGCTTTCATCTTGCTCTGTGATTTTATTTTGCTTGCACTGCAGTTTTTTCACTTAAATGGAAGAAAAATAACACGTAATCAGTCAGGTAAGAAATAGTCATCTCCCGTTATTACAAAAAGCAACGGTCCTCTTGTCATTAGTCCTCTCCTTCGCCACCCACGTCAAGGCGAGTTCAAAGGATGGGAAACCCCACTCAATCCAGGAAGCCCCTATCCAACCCCTGTGCGTGGCCGGAGGCTGACACCCGCCTAACCTAGGCCTCCGTCCCTGGCTCCCACACCGCCCTCCGCTGACTGCCTGGACCCGAGCCCGCCGGACCCTGCGTGAGCGCCGGCGTCGGAACCATACCGCCCAAGCCCCCGGGGGCGCGGCCGATGCGTGAGCACAGCCAGCTTCCCCCGACAGCCGGGCCGGGCCCTCGCGCCAACCCCGACCCCGCCCGACCCTTCCCGGTCCCGGGCTTCGCTTCGCGGTGAGCCCGGTATCCGAGAGGCGCACTCTGGCTTCTCCCACACGGGCAGCACCCAGCTGCCAGCAGCAGGCGGCAGGGCAGAGCTGGGTCGGAATGGGAAAGCCGGCAGCCCGGCCCGGGAACCGACCTGTGGAGACCGCCATCTTCTCCTGCAGCCCGACGCAGCCGCCAGCGCGCAGGGCGACGTCTCGCATCACTTCCGGGAGGCGCTTCCGCTGACCCGGTAGCTTCCTGGCTAGAGAATCTTGTTCGTTTCCCCAGTGGTTGGGATGCCGGAGATACCGTGGCCCAGGACAGGTCAAACAACTTCCTGACAAGAAAAATTGAAAGGAATTTCGTTGGGAGGGTTAGAAGACAAAGTTGCGTCAACCGCCTTGAGTGTAGAACAAGTAGTTAATAAGAAATTACTATTTTAAAAGTTAAGTACAGTGGGGCCGTGATCTCCCTTCAGACAGACGCTGGTGCTTGGCGCGCATGCGTGGAGAGGTGCTGTGAGAGCGTTTGGGCGCGGGTTTTCAAACCCTGAGAAACTTAAATTTTAGATAGGTACTTAGACAAATGTAACATGAAGGATGTTTTATACTGCTTAAGTATTGAAGTTATATTTAGTCTTTTGAATTAAAGTGCACTTATAGTAGAAGCCATAACAAAACACAGGCTTTGAAATTCTCTGATGGAAAGTTTAAGAGTTGGAGAAAATTTTAAGAACCCCTAAAAATTAAGCCAACTTAATTCATTCAGATTTTCCTTTTGAGACAAAGTTGTGCAACGTAGTTAAAATATGTCTGAGTCTAAAAACTTTTCAAATGTGTAAAATAAAAACTCTTAAGTAATGCTAAGGAAAAATGGATGAATTCGGTTATTTTTCCACCTTCCACAAAGTAGAGTGCATACCTTGAAATGCTGTGTTTTCCAACTTTTAGACATCTATCAAATAACAGATGGGCCTAGCATTGCGACTATGTATTTATTGGTTGTGCGGCTATGTGCATTTAATGTTTTAAAGGGGGTCAGGGAGCGTAATTGTTGTTCTGGCTCTCTTAGTGTTAGGAGAGTCTCTGCTCTGTAGCCTGTGGGTGTGTATAATGCCCTGAATCAGTGTTAAAGGAGTGCTAAATCAATCAAGGTTCCATAGCCTCTTTTCATCTCTGAGAACTGAAAGTAAACCTACCCAGGGCCCCCTAGTAGCATAAGAGGTTAAGTCTAAGCACTAAAGTTATTGGCAGCCATTGCAGCAAGATTTCAAGCCCCAGCCAGGAAGATGACCCACATGGTACATCAGACTACTCCTGTCTCACCTGTCTCTAAAGTGTATGCCAGTAAATCTTTAAATAAATCTTTTTTTAAAAAATGAGGGCCCTGGCCCTCCCTGGTGGCGCAGCGGGTTAAAGCACAGCACT